TAAGGAGCACCATTTTTTTAAATTTATATTAAAAGTCATTTTAGTAATTATTACATCACTTTGCAACAAATTGCATAGTTAAGGGGGGTTTTATGTGTACTTTTTTGTTCAATGAAGTTTCTTGCCAAAAATTCAAAGTAAATGGGGTGTTTTGTGCAATTTTCCTTATACAATAGGAACATGGTCATTTTCATCTGAAAAATATTTTCCATCCACTATGTTACCCCTTGAATAATTAGAGGGGTTTTTTGAAAAAAAATTAATAAAAAAAATTTATTACAAAAAGCTAATAGTCCTTAGTTTATTGTTTGGAATTGCCAAAGGCTAGGCTCTGTGTCTACAGTTCAGCAACTTAAACATTTGAAATATCAATATTCTCCGAATATAATTGGTGTTCTTGAAACTAAAAACTTGCGGCGGTCTATGTTTGTTCAAAAAGTGTTGGGATTTTCTAATGGATGTTTGGTTGCGCCTGATGGGATAGCGCGTGGTTTGGCCCTCTGGTGGACTGATAATGTTCAGCTAAGGGTGGTGGATAAAAATTATTTTTCTATTACTGCAGTTGTTTTGTCCCCTAACCAGTTCCTTTGGTATTTTTCTCTTTTATATGCAAATACAGTTGATAGGGAATGGGCTTTACAATGGGAGTATTTTGTTCATAATCCCCATTATTGGTCTGGCTGGTGGCTTCTCATTGGTGATTTTAATGATATTTTACATACTTCTGAGAAGCATGGGGGTCGAGTTAAGTAGGGGTGGCGGCTTCGATCCTTTCGCACCCTGATTGATTGTTGTGCTCTGGTGGGTATTGGTTTTATGGGTTTTCCTTTTACTTGGTCTAATCAGAGAGACAGACCCACTAATATTCAGGAACGGTTGGATAGAGCGTTGGCGACTAAGGATTGGATTACTATTTTTCCTCGGGCTCAATTGTCTCATCTCTCTGTAATAGGCTCTGATCATTATGCTTTGTTTTTTGCCCTTTTGCCTGAAAGTCAGCCTCAAAAGCGGTAGTTTCACTTTGATGCTCGATGGACATTTTCAAAAGAGTGTAAGCATATAATTGACTTGGTCTGGGCTGCTCTGATTAGTGGTTCTGCCCAATTTCAGTGGGCTCAGAAATTACGTCACTGTAAAGCTGAGCTCATTCGTTGGGCTAAGCTTCGCAATCTTAATTCCCGAGCCCACATCGATCGTACGGTAGCCAGGATTCGTGAGTTGCGGGCTAGAACTTCTAATTATTGCCATGCTGAAGTGCTTCAATTAGAAAATTATTTAATATCCTGTTGGTTGGACGAAGAATTGTTTTGGAAACAGAAGTCTCGTCTCCTTTGTTTGCAAGAAGGGGATAGGAATACAAAAAAATTTCATGTTAATGCTAAAAGAAGGAGCAACCGTAATTCTATTTCAGGTATTTTTGATGCTGCAAATCAGTGGGTGGTTGATGAGTCTGCAGTGCAATCGGCCTTTCTGAGTTATTTTCAGAATTTGTTCCAAACGTCCCATCCTTCGAATTTTGCTTAGTTTTTGCGGTTTGTTCCTGTTCGGATTACTGCTGAAATGAATGCCAATCTTTTGTTGGCCCTGTCGGAGTTGGAAGTGAAGTAGGCGGTTTTTTCTATGCAACCGATGCAAGCTCCTGGGCCGAATGGGATGACACCGCTGTTTTATCAGAAATATTACGAGGTAATTAAACGGGATGTTGTTGGGGCTGTCTCCAGTTTTTTTGCTACAGGGAATTTGTTATCTAGTTTTAATCATACCAATATTGTTTTAATTCCTATGACTTCTTCCCCAACACAGGTTTGTCATTACCGTCCAATTTCTTTGTGTAATGTGTCTTTTCGTATTATTACAAAAATTATGACTAACCACCTGAAAGGGATCATTGGCTCCCTTATCAGTGACTCTCAAAGTACATTTGTTGCAGGTCGCCATATCACTAATAATATTTTAATTACTCACGAAATTTTACACTATTTAAAAAATAAGCGCAAAGGGAGTAAGGCGTGGTTGGCTTTGAAACTTGATATAAGTAAAGTTTATGATCGGATTGAGTAGGATTTTTTATTTCATATGCTGGCTCGGTTGGGTTTGAACGCCCACTGGATTCAAATGATCACGGCATGTCTTTCCACGGTTTCTTACTCTTTAAAAATCAATGGAAGTTCTGTGGGTTTTTTCAAACCATTTAGGGGTTTGCGTCAAAGCGATCCTCTTTCCCCATATTTATTTATTATTTGTGCCAAAGTTCTCTCAATTGCTATTATGCGTGCTTAGCAAGATCGGTCATTATCTGGTATTCGTATTTGTAAAGGAGTGCCGTCTATTTCTCATCTTTTTTTGTTGATGATTCTATTGTGTTTTGTGCCATAGATCCAGAGGAAATGGTTGTTCTTAAAAACATTTTGGTAAAGTATGAACAGGCTTCTGGGCAACAAGTGAATTTTAGTAAAACATCTGTTTTTTTCTCTCATAATACTTCGGGATCTATGTGCCTCTCTCTGAGTCACTGTCTAGGATTACAGTCGCGTGGTTTTCATAGTCGGTATCTTGGGGTGCCGGCTATTTTGGGTCGGTCTAAACGTGATGTTTTCCAGTTTCTTCTGAAAAAAATATAAGACATGTTAGCTTTTTGGAAGGTGAAATCTTTGTCCACGAGTGGCAAGGAGGTGTCGATTAAAGCAGTGTTGAGTGCCTTGCCTACGTATACTATGTCATCTTTTAAGTTTCCTACTACATTGTGTCATGATTTGATGAAGCATATTCGTTCTTTTTAGTGGTTTAATGAGGATAAACCTAAGGCAATTCATTGGATCCACTTGGATCTTCTCTGTCAGAGTAAGAATTCGGGTGGTCTTGGCTTTCGGGATCTGGAGGCTTTTAATTTAGCTCTTTTAGCAAAGCATGCTTGGCATTTTTAGGTGCAGAAGCAAGGGTTGGTTTATTAACTTTATAAGGCCAAATATTTTCCTTCTTCATCGTTTTTGGATGCTTCTTTGGGATCCAATCCTTCCTGGGGATGGCGGAGTATATGGTCTACTCAGGCTTTGTTATGCCAGAGAGTCTGCTCGTTGATTGGCAATGGCACATTTACGCATGTTTGGAAATATCATTGGGTCCTTACGCTTCCGGATAAATTGCCACTACCCCCGGATCCTCCTTCTTTTTTTTTCTGTCTCGGAGTTAATTGATATTGCTACGTATTTGTGGAAGGTGGATGTTTTGTCTTAGTTTTTTCCTCCTCTTATAGTGCAAGAAATTCTCAAAATTCATATCAGTACGTGGGATAAACAGGATGAGGTCATTTGGACTCCAGAGCGGTCGGGTAAATTTTCTGTGCGGTCTGCTTATAAATTGGCCATTTCCATGTCTAATTTTGCAGATAATTTTCTTCTTACTTGTCCTTGGTCTTCGATTTGGCTGTGTTGTACTCTATCTAAGGTACAACACTTTCTTTAGAGATGTTGTACGCATGCTTTGCTGGTTCAGGTAGCTTTGTTAAACCGAGGGTGTGTGGTGTCGCCTCTATGCCCTCGTTGTGGTTTACAGGAGGAATCTGTTGTACATCTTATTTTTTCTTGCCCTCACTCTCTTAAAGTGTGGAAGTTATCCCCACTGCGTCTTGATTTTTCAGCTTCTTCTTTTCCTTCTTTCTGGGTTGGTTGAAAGTTCTTGTTATAGAAGGCTATTCTCTCTTCGGATTTTGCAGATGTGCTTAGTTTGATTTCTTTTTGTGCTTGGGGTATTTGGAAAGCCAGGAATTGGTTAGTATTTAAGGGGTTTTTATGGAGGCCTGAGGTTGTAGTGCAGAAGGCTGTTGCCGGTTTTTGGGAGTTCCATGATGCTAGGTCCCTCTGTTCTTCTTTGCAGCCTAATTCGACTATCAGTTTGGTGGATGTGTGGACTCCTCCTTCTTTTGGAATCGTTAAGTGCAATTTTGATGCTTCTTTTTGTAGGCAATCTATGCAGGGGGTGGTGGAGCCGTTTTCAGTGATTGTAGAAGGGAGGTGCTTCAAGCAATTATTTTTCGTCCCTTTTTCGCTTCTTCGGCTTTGGAGGCAGGGGCGTCGGTGTGTAAGCGTGCTGTTCTTTGCGCTATGCATTTGGGATTTTCTTACTTATGGTTTGAGTCGGATGCTTTGGTGGTTGTGAATGGGGTGTGGCGTAAGGAGACTTGTCCTTTGGATATTCCTTCCATCTGTTTTGACATTTTTCGGGACCTGCGGCTTTTTCATCTGCTACTTTGACTCATGTTCGTTGTCAGGGTAATCGAGTGGCTCATGCGTTGACAACTCTATCGAGGCCTGGGCTTGGGTCGGATCAGTTTTTGTCTTCTTTACCTCCTTTTGTCATCCCATTGGCGTGGCTGATGTTGTTTCTTAGTCGGATTGTTTTTGTTTTGGTTCTTGTGTGTTTGTCTTTACCTAAAAAAAAAAAAAAAAAAAAAAAAAAAAAAAAAAAAAACTTAGATTGAACATGGATTTGAGCCGGTTGAACTCTTAGGGTGCGTTTGGATAAATATGAGAGAAAAGAAAAGAAATAATATTATTAGTTATGAGAGAAAAGAAATGAAATGAAAGGATAGCAATAATTTCTATTTATGTTTGGATAGATAGAAAAGAAAGTATAGTATTCTTGTTTGGATATGATAGAGAGTAGAAAAGAAGAGAAATGATAACAATGAAATTACTATCATATCTTTTAAAATAGATAGGATATGAGTGGAATACTACTTAAACACTATCATTTCTCTCCCTATCTTCTCATTTTTTTAGAGATGAAAAAAGTGGGATAAAAAGGGATAACTATCTCTCCTTATCATTTCTTTTTTCTTATTTTAATCTACCCAAACACAATTTACACTATTCTTTCTTTTCTTTTCTTTTCTTTTCTTTTCTCTCAGTATCCCTACAAATCTCTCAATCCAAACATACCCTTAACCGTCCGATTTGCAACGTTGATTGCAAGCCAGCTAGGCTTCAAGCACTTGAAATTCACTTGAGCCACGTGGTTCATTACCACAACTACCATGGAAGGCTATCATGTATCACTCATCAACCAACACAGGAGCCGCAGAAACCGGTGACGTCACCGGCGGTAATGTCGGCGGCAACGCCAATGTCAGTATTCCACAATTACCCATCATCTTCATCAACCCTTCCAACCAAACCCTTCAATTCACAATCCCCATTGACAAGACGAGCGGTAGTATTCAACACCAAAGAATCGAAATGGTTGTTTCCTCCAAGTCCTACCCAATTTTTCGTCTCCAAAGGAAAGGGTCTCAAATTGGAGACTCTTTCCGTTGTTTTCCGCGGAGCGACTCACCGGAAGTCCTCCACAACCACCAGCCCCTCCGCCGCAAAGCAGCCTCCTGCTCCTCCTCCGCAAGGAGATGGTGACGTAATGCGGCTCCTGCAGGTTGCACTCTGGGCAGCTGAAGCAATCTATATCTTCTGGCTCTTTTTACTTCCATATGCCCCGGTTTGTACCCTCTCTCTCTGTTTCATATTCATATATATATATGTATATACATACACATTGTTTTTCAATATATATATACACATTCAAACACTCATGACGCACACACAACTTTTCTTGAGCATGTTTTGTGATGAGAGAACTGGATGCCCATTTGCTGCTATGTAACTAACGCTGAAAGATTTTTTATTTTTATTTTTACTTTTAAGCTTTTTTTATTTTATTTTTACTTTTTATTTTTTTGCGCAGTTAGGAAGAGTGACATTGAGTTAATAATAGGAAAGACGAAGATCAAAGTTAATCTTGGTAGAGTTAGTAAGGAAAAAGTAGGGGTGGGCATTTAATGGGGCAATCCGTGAATCCGATGATCATCGGATTGGTTTTGTAGTCTCATGGATCATGGTTCGGTGACAGATTGATAAACAAGGAATTCGTAGTCCACTTAACGGATTGGGGTCTTAAAAAACCCATCAGATTCAATCCGTTCAAATATATATATATATCTGTGTGTGTGTGTGTGTGTGTTATAGACTATTTCTATGTTCTTTATTCTTTTATTATTTTAAATTTTACTAACTTTTAACCCTTAAGACCTACTTTACTCCGCATTTCACTTAAGCTTATTTAGATTTTAAATTTTTACTGTTGGAAGTGGTTGGAGTGTTTTCAGCCTCATTATTGCTTGCTTTGGCTTAAATATCTATATCATACACTGTTAAACAACCTCATTATTGATTGTTGTGGTTCAGATATTATTTGTTGCTTATGGAGTCATTGTTATTGCTTGCTGCATTAATGAGACTCTTGAAAATTTATCTATTAGGTCATGGTTAAAAAAACATAATAATATTGGGTTGTTTGGAAAGAGGCCAATCCGTAAAACCAATCCGATTTGACCCATGAAAAGGCTTAATCCAATCCGATCCGATCTGTAAAGTAATGGATTGGATTGGAATCAATTTTCAATCCGATCTGTATCCGCCCCTGGGAAAAGTATAATAACATGTGATTAGACTAAGGCCATTACCTTAAATAAAGCAGAATGGAAACATAGCATTCATGTAGCAGACTCTCAAGTAGTACTCCATTGTTGTTGTAGCCTAAAATTTTCATGTATATACTGCAGGGTGATCCAGTATGGGCCATCAGTTCAGACACAGTCAATTCTCTCGTGGGTCTTTCTCTCAATTTCTTCTTTATTCTGCCACTATTGAACTCTGGTATGTTGTGCTATTGTTGGTGTTGAGCCGTAGATTTAATATTTATTGTCCTCTCTTCTTTTGAATATATTTATGTATATAGTACCATGCTATTTGTGCATCTGTGATACCTTCATTAGCAATGCTTTGATACCATATATCTGTTACGAACTCTCCTTACCAGTTTTTTAAATATTTTTTGTTTAGTTTGGTGTGGTCATTTTGAACAGATGACTTTGATTAACTTTTTAGATTTGTTAGATGAATTGAAGACTCACCTCTGATAGCATCATTGTGAGCCATTTTGCACTCCCATCATCTAGTAATTGCACAATCTCCTCTCTAATATAGTCTAACATATCCCTTACTCTTCTTAACTCTTTACTACACGAGTCCTTTTGTCGAGGCTGATCCTCCACGGCTTCCTAACACACCTGCTACAGACCCGTTGGTCACCTGCCTCTTGTATATGTACATTGATAAACAAAAACATTAATTGGAAGATGGGAATTGCTCGTATTTTGGGTGAGTCACTTCACTTATTCACTTGCATAGGAGGATGTGCTTTTGCTTTATAGGCTCATTACTTTCCAGAGACATTATTTTATGATAAAAAGATGGTTCATTTGCAAGCAATATAGTTGAGTCATTAAATGATTAATTGTGAAGCCAATAAAATTGGAACACCCATCTAGTTTGATTGTTCCTACACCTGTTTTTTCCTGCAACATGCAGTGAAGTTCATTGTCCAGTAAGGAGGCATTTCGTTACCCCCAAGATTTCCATTCTGTTCTTATGGAAAATATGATATGAGTTCATTTTGTGTAACCCTTTTTCTTTCCTAAAACATTTGAAATGAGTCTATTTCGTACTGCTACAATGGCAACTTTGGATCTGCCCCCATTTGATAGGGATAGGGTTGGTTGGATAGCTCAACTCCCTGGAACCTGCAGGATTACTAGAGTGAGGAGCATTTGGATAAGATGCATAAATCACACTGATGTCTCAACTTCTTTTCTCTCCTTTCTCTTTTTTTTTTTTTTTTTTTCAATTTGTTTATGAATTCACTCACATTTTTCAAATGAAATTAAAAAAGAAAAGAAAAATAGAAAAACAATTTGGGGAGTCTTCATTTCATGTCCATTCCAATCAACCTTCATTTATTGAGTAGGACTCAAGTACTCGCTGTTGTACCTAAAGTTAATCAACTGTGGGTAATCGGAATGGATTTAAAAATGAACAATATTTGAAATCGAGACAACCAGGATCCTGAACAAATGTTAGGTGAAATTCCATTTCACCACCAAAGGGGTCTAAGAGTAAAACATGCACGGCTGGCTCACGCTCTTGGCATCATCTACTAACGTTTCCAAGATACAAGGAGGAGCGCAGAAAGTAACAAATAATCATTGGCTTAACTGGAAAAATTCTCCTTTTCCTTTGTCCTTTTTGCCCCTAAAATTACTGGCATTACTTGAAAAGATATTCTACGGTGAGTTTTTTCTTATGAGAGTTTCATCTCATTAGGATGCCAGTCTGACTCATGGATTGGGCCCTGATTTTGAAATCACTTTTTGTTAATCTGTGGAGTGAAGATCAAATTTTGTCTATTCCAATTATTATTTTCTTGTAGCCCAAAATCATCAATAATTTTGAGGTTTTGGCCTGTCATATATTTGTTTCCTGGATGTAGAGGAGGATTTCTTTCTGAAAGACGATGAGGATGGAGGTTGAAAACTGAAATATTATTATTTGTCAGTTACTTATTTTGTGGTTGTGGGTGCTTTTGCATGGGCAATTTCGATTCGTCTTCTTTATTTTTCTTCTCTCCGCCCTTCCTTCCCTCTTTCGCCCTAACCTTTTTTGCACGATGTTCTTCATACTGCGTGTCTTTAGCTACGGAGACAAGGTTCAATGGCACTGATTTTTACTATTCTCAATTTATTTACATACAACCTTAATCTTTCTATATTTTCACATTTACCTCAGCATTTATTTTCCATTCTCAATTAAAACCCTACATGTAACTTTGTTATTGGGCTCTGCAACATTTAAGTAATTATTTGGTTTATGTGCTTATTATATATATTCACACACAACCACGGGCTCTAAAGGTGCTTCTGCAACACTTAACTTTGAATTTTGCCACTCTCACATGCTTAGTCACACCCTTGTTGTTGCTCATGCTCTCAAAATGTCTGCTTTAGGCTCATAGTAACCCTCAAGATAAATCATTGGCTTATGATTTGGGTTATATAACTGTTTGACAAGTATTTTTTATTTATTTATTTATTTATTTTTAAAAGGTACTTGACAACTAATTTTGGATCAAAAGAACCCAACTTTTAAAAGGAGAACCTACTATTTTCTTCTGACTGATATTAATGCGTTATCTGCTCTATCGCCTCTATTCAATTTCTCCATCATTATGTTCTCTCATGATAGATCAGCCTCACAAGAGATCCATGATGTTTTTGTAACTTTTTTATTGAAGTCTTCTTTTTCTGATACGATAATGTTCCAAAAATATTGCAAGTATGAGGTTTTCAGCCCGAAGTTTCCTAGAACATGAATATGGTGAGAAAAGGGCAGGTTTCCACGAGTACACATAGCTTACCATAGTTGAACCTAAAAGCTACATTACATGGAATCGGGAATTCGGGATGTGTATCAGGGTTTCTATTTGTTTATGCATCAAGTTTGTCAAGTCCTGGAACCTAAGGACACAAAGATTACAGCTAATTTCATAATTCTTTTGTTTAAAATATTAAGCTTTATATTTTATATGAAATGGTATTTTATGTAACAGAGTATCTAATGCGGACACATTACTCGTTTTGAATTAATAACGTGACAAAATATTATAATTAAGCACAATTAAATAGTTGTGTGTTCAACACAGTAACTTTATGCATTTGGAAGTGTCCATGTAAAATGGCTCAAAAGAGATCATTGAATACCAGGATGCTTTAATGAGTAAGAGATTGTCTTAGTAACTGATTAGGCTTCATGCCTAAACTCTCACCTGCTATGGTGTTCTTAGTAGAAAGGAAAAACGAAAGTGTGACGGAACACTAAACACGATTACGTGATATTGAACTAATGACAAAGGTCTCTGTTCCCTACGATGTTCATGATCCATGCAATAATGAATACAATTTATTTGTAATCATCATCTTTTTCTCATATTTATTTATTTTTTAATTGAGCTACATCGTCAAAATTGTTTATGTTTCTGTTGAGAGCTATGCATAATTTTGCTGTGTTGCCAAAATTGTGTTTTTCATGATTCCATTGAAAGCTTCTTTCTATGCTATATATCAGTGCCCCATAGCCATATTCACTTAGCAGGTAGACCTATACGGCTATACAGCCTGACAACCAAACAACTTTCTGTAATCTGTATAGTTTTCTGATTTTCAATTATCTGAAAACAGAAAACTATTCTCAGAAAACTGAATTGTACATGCCTGGTGTACATTATCAACTGATTACCAGGCAGGTTTCTAGTTAAATCAACCAGTTCTTAAGAAAACTGCTATATATTTGTTGGATACATTATGATGATGGATGTATCTTCTGCTGGCCAATCTGGTTTATTTAGAAGTCTATTACATTAACCCTTGACCATTTGTGGAAATAATTTTTTTTGGCAGAGTAGTCGGCATTCGTCTGATTGATGCTCCAACTCTTCACCCGGTGGGGATCAGTTTTTTACAGATATATTGCAAAGTGTTCAGAATGTTCCTCCTGTTTGTTGATCTAAATCTCAATTCTGATATGGGCCTCTTTTTTTTTTTTGTTTGCTTCGCCAGATGTCTGAAGGATTGTTTAACTTTGTTATCGGGTGGACATTCATGTTTGCTCCTCTGCTATTCACGGATTGTAAGAGGGACAGATACAAAGGATCATTGGACATTTTATGGGGCTTTCAAATGTTCCTCACAAACAGTGCGTCCACTAAACTCTCATGCTTGACAAAATAGTGAGGTAGTTTCTACAATCAACCACAGCCACAATGAGTAGTGGCTATTAGAGGGGTCTTGTCCTACATTGGATCCGGATGGGAAAGAGATTGGGGATATATGAGTGGGTATGCAGCACTACCCAATAGCTCTGTTACAGTTGGTATCAGAGCTAGACCTAGTCCTTCATTAGATGTCATGCCAAGCGCCCGCCTGGGCGGACCCACCCAAGAGGTGGCTGGGTCTAGGCAGGGTGGTTCGACCACTACAAGGGCGTTGCAAGTTGGGTGAGGAAGAATTGTAGAGGGGTCTTGTCCCACATCGGATCCTGATGGAAAAAAGATTGGGTATATATGGACGGGTATGCAGTACTACCCTGCGGCTTAAGCTTTTGGGTCGGATGGCAAGCGCCCAATCCGTTACACCAGGCTTCTTATAAAACCACTTGTTATTAGGTCCAAACTTGGTTGTGTAAGAGAATTCATTTGTTTAGATTCATGGCCAGGGATCAAGTATTTCTTGTTCATATTACTATGGTCATATGATTATTTTTATTTTTAACAAAAAGTTTACCATATTTAATTGCGATTTTGCATTGACCAAATATCTCCCATTTTCTCATGATGGCAGCATTCTTGATACCTTACATGGCCATAAGGCTGAATGAGGCTGATGCCCAGTATACTCCAAGAAAGCCCTCTCAACTGAGTTCTGTGATGACTAACGGCGCACCCATCGTTGGACTGATTGGCGGTGCTGTGTGTCTGATATCTACATTGTGGGCGCTGTTTGGCCGAGCAGATGCTAATTTTGGAAGTGTAATGGACAGATGGGAGTTCTTGGTAAGTTATCTAGGATCTGAGAGGCTGGCCTATGCCTTCATTTGGGATATTTGCTTTTACATAATCTTTCAGCCTTGGTTGATAGGTGATAACCTACAAAATGTTCAGAAAAGTAAGGTTGATCTGGTGAAGTATCTTAGATTTGTTCCGGTAGTTGGTTTAGTTGCCTACCTTCTTTGTTTTAATTTTGATGAGAGTAATAGCTAAATATATTATTGACTCCATCGGTCTATCGACAAGTAACAATGATATTCTAGGTTTTTGAATCAATTCTAGTGGGTGCTATAAAAATGTTGTTGTTTTCCATTTTTATTTTTTAAATGGGTGTTATACAAATGAAAATTTTAAGTTTAGCAGCCCTTAATTTTGTGTTTAGGTGTACTATTCGATTTCAATATGGGCGGCAATATTTGTGTTTAGAGGATTTAGGTTTGAGCTAATCGTGTTCGTGTCGTAATCGTGTTGACATGGATTGATCTGTTAACTATACGTGTTGTATTCGTGTTTGACCCTGCTAACACGATTAACACGATTAACCCGATTAACTGAACGTGTCAGATAAACGTGTCGTATTCGTGTAAAAAATGATCTATTTAGCTAAACGTATGGAATAAATGTATCATGTTTGTGTCAAAAATGATTTAAATGTGTCTTTTCGTGTCATTTTGTGTCGTGTCAAGTCTTGACTCATTTATTAAATGGGTTACGCGTGTCGTATCGTATTGTGTTACATGTATAATAATCGTGTCGTGTTCGTGTAGACTCTAATCGTATTTGTGTTATAATCGTGTTGATACGAACATGACCTGTCAAAATACGAATTGCCACCCTTAGGGCCCATTTGGGAAGTGTAGTGTGATGTAGTGTACTGCTCTAGTCTAGAACAGAACAAGTATTTTGTAGTGTGATGTTCTGAAATGAGAACAAAACATGTTTGGTGTTCCAAATTTGCTCTGAGAATTTTGGAACAAAAACATGGTAGAACATGTTTGGTAATGTATATTGTTGTAAGAAATATGAGAACAAAACATGTTTGGAAGAATAAAAGTGTAAGCAGAATCACTAAAAAAAAAATTATATATATTTTTTTTAAGTGACAAATTCCAAAACTATAAGTTACCAAAAAAAATTGTTGGGTTTCCTTTGTTAAAAAATTACCAATAAAAACCTATAAATATTACCAATAAATTTCATTGCATGAAATTAGTACGAGTGTTGGGTTTTTTTTATTAAAAAATTACCAATAAAACCCTATAAATAAAAAATTTGCTTCTTCAGTACCTTTTTACTAAAAATAGAAAAACAAATTTAATCATATATTATATTATCTAATAATAAGTCACAATTATTTTCTTTCTCCATTTAAATTTAAATTTTTTAAATTTCAGATAGACAAATATAAAAAATGAGGATTCAAGCTATTTTGATATATATATAGAAAAACAAATTTTATCATATATTATATTATATAATAATAAGTCATATATTATATTATCTAACAATTTTTTTTAAATTTCAGATAATATATATATATATATATAGCAGGTGAAAAAATTGCAAGAGATTTGAGAATTTGGATCAAACAAAAATTCAGTTAAAAAAACGCAGATGTAGAAAAATAAAATAATTAAATATGTTGAATTAAGAATGTTTTTAAATAATGTTTTCTTGAATACATTTTTTCTAACTTTATTAAGTATAAAGTTAAAATTAATTATTGTATAATTTTAATATACAATTGATATAACTTTTCATATATATATATATATATATATATATATATAGTTTTAAAAATTTATCTTAGTTTACTATAAAAATCAATAAAATAAATTATAAATTGTAAATTGTAAAATTTATCTTAGTACAATTTTATTTCTCTTATATTAGTAAATTTTATGTATGTTTTTGCTTGAATTGATAATGTGATATTTAAACTCCATCATAAATCCTCTGGTTCATTCTTTTTATTAAATATTTTTCTTCAAGAACTCTTTTGCAGTGAATGATTTTTTTTTCTTTTTCAGTTTTTTTCAATTAATTAATATTATATCATGCTTGTCTCACCAAAAACTCGGACCTGCTGTCTAAAGCAGAAGTTGCTTCTGTAACAACCCTCACCATGGCCAGACACAATATTGTCCGCTTTTGGCTCACCCAGACCAGAGACTTCCCAGGGGGTCACCCATCCTGGTATTACTCCAAGTTAAGCACGCTTAACTACAGAGTTCTGATGGGTTCACGGCCATCACAGCTTTAAAACGCGTTGTGTCATAGAAGGGTATTGAATCTACATATAGCACTTGCCCCATCCACACCCAGACGATATGGGATTGTGCACCTGTAGCTCGCCCAGTGTGGTAGCCTACTGGTGCCCCCTGCACACGCTCACACACACCCGCCAACAAGGTCGCCATAATCACCCCCCTTTGGGGCCCAACGTCATCGTTGGCCACACTTCCGGCTGGGTCAGGCTCTGATACCATTTGTAACGACCCTCACCCTGGCCAGACACAATATTGTCTGCTTTTGACTCACCTAGACCAGAGACTTCCCAAGGGGTCACCCATCCTAGTACTACTCCAAGTTAAGCACGCTTAACTACAGAGTTCTGATGGGTTCACGGCCATCACAGCTTTAAAACACGTTGTGTCATAGAAGGGTGTTGAATCTACATATAGCACTTGCCCCATCCACACCTAGACGATATGGGATTGTGCACCTGTAGCTCGCCCAGTGTGGTAGCCTACTGGTGCCCCCTGCACACGCTCACACACACCCGCCCACAAGGTCGCCACAGCTTCATCCAAAATCAGAATAGAGGGATTCTGATAGACAGTCAACAATCAAACTACAGTTTATCCAGAAAATTGTTAGAGAAACTTTTAAAGTGTTGGGGCACCTACCAGTAAATATTAGCACGAATGAAGTGGGGATAGATTTTGGAGAACGAGGGGTTAAAAGATTTGTAAGAAATCTCAAAATACTGAGATGAGAGAGATGAGGAAATAGAGAGAGAGCTTGGGGTAAACCGAGAGTGCAGAGAGAAGCGACGAAGCTTGGGTTCGTCGGAAAATGCAGAGGTGAGACAGAGGGAGGTCAGATCTTCATACAAACATGGTCGATTTGAAGCCTGATCTTCAAACAACGTCAAAAATATTAGACAGAGCACAACGAAAATAAGAAGAAGAAGCAGAGGAACTCTTTCATTCCAAGAAGACGACCTTCAGATCTGATTCAATGTCGTCGATTTCAACCCCATTGCAGTGACAAGAAGACCACTGTGAATCGCCTCAGTCGTCTAGAGAGAACCCTAGAACAAGATGGACCGATTCTTTAAATTGTGTTCTCAGAATTCCTTGTTTTGGGGCTGTTGTTCTCCATTCTACAGTGAATAGTGGGTCTTGCAAAATTTGGGAACACTTTGGAACATGATTTTTTTGTTCCGGAAATTGGCCCAAAAACAGAATTTGTTCTAGCACTGTTGGACACAATACCGCCCATACCAAACAAGTTGTTGTCCTCAATAGTGTCCATTTGCACTGTAGGGAAGGGCATAGAACAAGATGGAGCATCCCCCAAACAGGCCCTTAGATTTCATGTAAAATCATAAACTTAGAAAGGGGCACGGGTAATGCAATACCTATAACTCTTAGGTGTCTGTTTGTAATCTATGCAGTTTTAAAGGTTGTTTTGGAAAGGTAGTTGCTAGAAATGATATTAGCAAGGCATACCATCGATGGCAGTTACAGCTTAACAGTGAATTTTATAGTGATTGAAATTTGAATGTTGCTCGAGAATGTTGAATACGTGTCTTCTGTTTTCATTTCGAGATGGCAGGTTGCTGGAAAAAGATTATTTATATGTCTTTATCTCATATAATGCATCCTTTCAAGAACATAAAATATTATGTATAGTTCGCAGAATTTGTCATAAGAATTTGCATCATAAAGCAGCACATTGAATTAAAATCAGAATGTTATCGATCAGTACATGCTCTTCATTTTTCTGCAACAAATCATCACAACCATCCTCGACGATGTACTGCTGCGACTGTTCTCGATTAAATGGTGTAAATGTCCATTTGCAGTAACAATGGCCGATGGGTGGAACTTACCTAGTCCATTATTTATCCCACTCAATCAAACCCCTTATTCTCTTTCACCTGAACCAGCCATGGCCCCCAGCTTCTGTGTTGTTGATGGTTCCCGCCGTGTCTATGGTGATTTGAAGGTAGTTTCAGTTGATCCAGTGGGCCTCTTTAAGCGGATCTGATATGGGCCTATTGTTGTTTTTTGGGCCATTCAACTTAATTTTTGCTTGCTTTAATTTTTTTCTTTTGGTCTGTTGCCCAGTGGGCCTTTTTGGCGGCCTGTTCATGGGCCTTGGCTTTTGTGATATGCCTAAGTAAATATCTAGGGCGTGCTTGGTTTGTAACTCTGAGAATAGTTGGAAACTGTAAAAAAAAAAAAAAAAAAAAAAAAAAAAAAAAAATAAAATTGCTTGATTTAGTTTTCTAAAAGCTCAATTATAAAAAAACATGTTTTCAGATAATTATTTTTTATAGTTCTTTTAAAACAATTTTTCGTTCTCTGAATTCTTAAGAATTGTTTTCAGAGTTACAAACCAAACAAATCCTAATTACTCCTTTATTTTATGTTACTTACTTATTTACCAGGAAAAAAAAAAAAAAAACCAACCGAATTGAACCATAAAATGTGAAGTAACCTAATCAAGTGAGGTTTAGGATTTGTTATATCTACGAGTCATTATTCAATTATTCAAACTTATGAGGTGGTTTTGTTGACAAACAATTGATATAACTGTCTATCATCAACAAATGCAATAAATTTTATTTTATTTTATTTTATTATTTTTTAAAAATCTTAGGGCACCCTATAATCCATGCCCGTGCACTGAAAAATAATTTGAACAACAATAATTAATAAATGAAGAAGACCCAATAAAGAATGTTGGTGCATAATCTAACTTGAGAACTTTACATGACCTTGTGAGAAATAAGACGACTTCTAAATACATACACTAGAAGAAAGTTGATAGTTCAATCATATTGGAAGAAAGGAAGTACAAGCAACTTTTGCTATAGGACCTTAACAAATCAAGAGCACGGTCCTTCCATGGATCGACCTCCTCCAACACATAATTGAGAATGAAATTATATTAAACTGGACCCATTTGTCTATTAAAATAATTTATACTGTATTTTGGAAATAATATTTAAAGTTTTTATATGTATGGAAAGAGCAGTGAAAATTTAGTTACTCAATTTTTTTTATTGACGTGGCGCTTTTATAGCCACTTATTTGGCACCTGATGGAACTGGTCGCTGTGAGACAAGAGGAGATTTTGCGCCGGAA